TCATCGGAAATGCAGACGCCACAGCCGGGATTCGATCCCGCAACCTGCGGGTCAGCAGCCGAGTACCTTAGCCACTAGACCACCGCGGTGGGGCGAAATTTTGACGTAGCCCAAATTGTAGAATAGTTCGCTGCTGCCTTGGATAGGGATTAATTAGCATATGTTATAACCCTTTTTCTCTGTCGTTCCTGTGCATAAGGATGGCACCAAGTGCTATGCTGCTTGCATTGATAGGGGTTTTCATATCTGCATATTCGTCGAAATGCACAAATATTGGAGGTGTCTGCAGGCATCATTTCAATTCTCGAAGTGCATTGACATGTGCTGTTTTTTATTTGTATTTCATCTCAGGCTTCGTTAGGTGGGTTAGCGGCTCAGTGATCCATAAATATTTCTTGACGAATTTTCGGCAGTAGGTGCACAAGTGGAGAAGTTGGTGTACGGCTGTCTTGTTGCTAGGTGGCTTTTGCCACTTACCTTTTGCCACCTACCGTCATCACTGCCTTCTTGGCAGCAATAGCAGCTGTTTTTTATGGATATGGGTGTTTTCCAGACCTGCTAATGAAGTGTGCCAAGAACAACAGCTCCTCATATGCGAAACAGCACTTTATGAGCTTCAAGGTGAAGTCAGGTGTCTTGATTGTTTCAAGTACAGTCCCAAGGCATTGTAGGTGTTTGTCAAAGTTTGGGGCAAACAGAACGAGGTTTTACAAGACATGAGACAAGTCTGCCACTTCAATAAAACTTTTGTTGATCCTAGTTCGTACATAGCGTTTCAGGTGAGATGTATAGCGTTTTAGGATCACAAAGGATAGAAGAGATGAGAACTGCCAGAGCACAAGTGCTCATCTTTTCTATCCTTTGTGGTCTGTTTTCTTTGCGCTAACGTTTTCACCTTAACTGCCCTTCAAGACAGCCAGTACTGTATTTATAACGCGTTGGAAAGTCACAGGTGCCGAGCAAAGACAAAGGAATTGACCCTAACTCGAAGAGGCTGTCTGGTGTTATGAACACCGTCTTCTCCCAGTCTCTTTTGTTCACTTTGAATTGCTAATAACCAGTCGTAATCTCTATTGACAAAAAGTAACATGCTTTGTGGAGTCGACCCAAGGCATATTCTTTCTGTTGAAGAGAATACACATCCTTCATTGGAAATTTTTTCAGGTGGCGATAATCGATGTAGAAACTCAAGGTTTCAGCCTTTTTAATTAACACTGCAGGTGATGCCCATGGACTCTAGGATTACTGGATGATGTTCTCATGTAGCATTTTTTCCACTTGTCTCTTTATGGCCTTGCTTTCTCGTGTCAAAACTCTGTGTGGACTCTGGCAAAGTGGTCTGGCACTGTGCTTTCTAATGATACGATGTTCGGCGACTGGGGTTTGTTGAATTCTTTTGAATTCTTGACAACAGCGAGAAGCCTTGAATTGCAGAAGCAGGGCTTTGAGGTGGTCTTTCTTGCACTTTGGAAAGCCCGGGTTGACATTGAAATTTGGTTAGACACCTCAATTTGTCGAAGTAGATTCAGTAGATCAGTGAAGGCAAAAAATTGGTGGCTTCTAAAATTCGTTTGGAGTAGGTGCCATTCGTGTCTTTGTTCATGTGCTTGTACTTAATGAAACTTGTTAGCAAAATTAGTATTTTCCTCCAGGCAGCTCAGCGATTCCTCTTGCAATGCAAATTTTGCGATGGATAAACGGGTGCTAATCACCTTCAACAATGCCTTCCAGGCCAGCAGATTCTTGAGTGCTGATGGAAACGATGGCGCTTGAGCAAGGTGGAATGCTGACTTTTGTCTTCCAGCTCATTAAAGACTTGCTTTCGTGGCAACGTGTCCGGCAGATATATCAGCTCAGATCTCAGATCGACTACACCATGACAACCTAAGAAGTCTATTCCAAGGATAACATTCTTTAAAGCCGCGCAAATAACAGGAAATGAAGTGGATGCTAGGTCTTTGGCGCTGCTTTAATTTATGTGGAACCATACCAACCAGCCCAGCTGTTGACCTTGCTACAAGGATAATCTCTCTCAAGCAGAGCTGTAAGACAATGAAAAGTGTGGGAAAAATCTGGTTGTTAACAAGGCCTTGTGCAAACTCCCACCGGCATTACTAGGTGACCTAGCTGTCCGGATTTCGGGGCCTTTCCAGCCAGTCCTCACTTTCTTCAGCATTACGACGATTGGACCACTGATGACAGAGTAATCTGCTTTGGTGTGGCAATATCTTGGCCATCAATAAGCTCATTAATGTAAGTAGTTTCTCGCCTTGCATTATGGTTAGCCCATGGCATTGAACCACGGCTACACTGGGTTGTTCCTCTGCTTCCAGATGGTGTTGCTGGGTTTTTTTCCAGATGCAATGTACAGACGTCAGGGTTATGTTCAGCTTGTGGTGTTTCCTTCAGATTTCGTTGTGGGGGCAATGAAGCATTGTAGGTATTTCGTCATATTGTCACGAGACTTCAGGAGTGCAGGGGTCTTAATTAGCCAAGATGTAGCCAGCTCTCTAAAAGCATGTCCGTCGCAGCTGCATCTCGAGCGAAGAAGACGCACGGGATCTTCTTTTCTTTTTTCGGGTGAGAGCCGCTCTTGCTCTAAACCCATTACATGCAGGCGGCATTATCCACCCTTCCGAATAAAAGAAAAAAAAAAGACAAAAAGAAAGAGAGAAAAATTAGAAGACATAGCATCGCCTCAATGTTATAACGTAGGCCCATGAAAAAAAAGAAAACCCAGATAAAGAGAAAGTAGAAAATAAAGAGCGTGACCGTAAGAAAAAAGTCGATGAATGAACAAGCAAGTTCACAAAACTAAATAAAAAACACGAAGACCGGTGAATGATGAAAAAAAAAAGTTACGAACGCACAATGAATGATGTGATGTGCACAACATGAGTGACATCCAGACTCGGTCAAGTCCTAGTCCGTGCCTGCGTTGTTGAGTCTGGGACCACTTTGTAGTTTCGGCACTGATGTGGCGTAGCACTTTGTGTGGGCCTAAATAGCGGCTAAGTAGATTTTCACTGAGGTCTCAGCGGCGAACGGGAATCTACACCCAAACTTGGTCTCCTAGGTTGTAGACCATGTTCCTGTGGAGGGTATTATAGCGTCGTTCATCTACCTGCTGCTGCTGGTCGATGTGCAGTCATGCAAGCTGTCGAGCTTCCTCGGCATGCTCTGCGAATTTCTTGGCGTCAGTTGCCAACTCAACCTCGTCTTGATACGGTAGCATGAAGTCGAGCATGGTCGGCACTTCGCGGCCATAGAGAAGCCGAAACGGCCTGAATTGCATACTCTTTTGCACGGCAGTGTTAAACGCGGAGGTCCTGTAAGACAAGATTTGGTTCCATGCTGTACAAAAATGTACATTGTGACCATGTCTGCGAGCGTCTTATTCAGCTGCTTTGTAAGCCCGTTAATTTGAAGATAAACGCGGTTGTCTTTCAGTGCCTGGTGTTGCTTAGTTCATAAACTTCATCCATAAGCTGTGCTGTGAATCTTGTGCCTCCGTCTGTTATGACGCTAGAAGGTGGATCATGATGCGACATGATATGGCGCATTAAAAATTGCGCTAGATCAATACCTGTGGCTCAGGGGATTGCCTGTGTCTTGTCAGTCTTTGATGTACTGTTTGACACATGCCAAGAGTCCGGGCCAATTGTACTTCTCGCTCACTCTGGCAAGTGTTCATGAGTAGCCTAGGTGACCAGATGTGGGTTCATAATGGCCAGCGAAAAGGGCATCGCCTCACATGTCCCGAGGAACCACCAGGATTGATTGATTGATATGTGGGGTTTAACGTCCCAAAACCACCATATGGTTATGAGAGACGCCGTAGTGGAGGGCTCCGGATATTTCAACCACCTGGGGTTCTTTAACGTGCACCCAAATTTGAGCACACAGGCCTACAACATTTCCACCTCCATCGGAAATGCAGCCGCCGCGGCCGGGATTTCATCCCGCGACCTGCGGGTCAGCAGTTGAGTACGTTAGCCACTAGACTATCGCGGCGGGATAAGGAAGGAATCATCAGGCAAACACGGTTGTTTGAACGAGCAATCTTCTTGTATACCATGCTGTCTCAGGCAAAGCAACATCAAGGAGCGGGACAGATGGCGTGGTATGGTTGTGTCGTGGCCCTCCAAGTGATCAATGATTGGTTGAATGTCTTCGTCGCCGCGCTGTCGTTTGCTCAAGTCTGACGAGCTAATGGCTCCCAGGAAGCCTTCGTCTATCTCTGCTCTCTGACAGACGAGATGAAGGGGTGCGCGCGACAGTGTGTCAGCATCTTCATGCTTACGGCCGGACTTATAAGCAATCATAATCATCATCATAATCAGCCTGACTGCGTTCACTACAGGACAAAGGCCTCTTCCATGTTCCGCCAGTTAACTCGGTCCTGTGCTTGCTGCTACCAATTTATATCCGCAAACTTATTAATCTTATCTGCCCACCTAACCTTCTGTCTCCACCTAACCCACTTGCCTTCTCTGGAAATCCAGTTCGTAACCCTTAATGACCAGCGGTTATCCCGTATATGCACTACATGCCTGGACCATGTCCATTTCCTCTTCTTGATTTCAACTATGATACCCTTAACCCCCGTTTGTTCCCTAATCTACTCTGCTTTCTTCTTGTCTCTTAAGGTTACACCTACCATTTTTCTTTCCATTGCTCGCTGCATCCTCCTCAATTTAAGCTGAACCCTCTTTGTAAGTTTCCAGGTTTCTGCTTCATAGCTAAGTACCGGCAAGATGCAACTGTTATATACCTTCCTCTTGAGAGATAGTGGCAATCTACCTGTCATGATTTCAGAGTGCTTGCCAAATGTGCTCCACCCCATTCTTATTTTTCTAGTTACTTTGTGGCGTCGCAAAGTGGTGCTTCTGTGTGCGGTGCAGAGAGCGCATGCGCCCGCACGAGAAAGTTATCTTCGAGAGGAAGGGTGAGAATGAAAGTCAGTTGTTGTTTGGGACGCGAGTTGTTCACTTGCGCAGCTCTGCCGAGCAACGCGTCACAACATTGGTGACCCGGACTCGGAATACAGACACAGCGACCGGAGTGTCGAACCAGTTGAATATGGATTCAACGTCCACGACCGACGCCCCTCCGACAGTCTCCTCAGTCGACGGTAAGCTGCCCCCTTTTTGGACTGCGGACCCCACACTTTGGTTCATATAAGTGGAATCTCAGTTCGCAGCCAGACAAATCACCGCAGACCTTACGAAATACCACTACGTAGTCAGCAGTCTGCCACCCGCCTTAGCCAGTGAAATCAGGGATCTGTTGCTCGCACCACCTGTCGAAAACGCATGTGCAACGCTAAAAGAAACCCTTATTCGGCGAGTTACGCCCTCCAAACCACAACGACTGCAGCAATTGCTTCGCGGCACGGAACTCGGCGACCGTACTCCTAGTCAGCTTTTGCGGCACATGCAACAGTTGCTTGGCGGAACATCAAACACGATAGATGGAGTATTGCTCCGAGAACTTTTTTTGCAAAAGTTGCCTTCAGGCGTCCGCATGGTCATCGCGGCCTCAGAGCACAAGGATTTAACCGCAGCCGCCGAACTTGCTGACAAACTGGTAGCAATGACACCGGCCACACCCATGGCTGCCGTACAAGTGCAACAGGCTCTAAACGAACTTCAAGAGATGCGTGAGGAGATTGCTCGACTTGCCGAAACAGTATCAGCTTTGCACGCTAGCAGGAGGGCGCAAACGATAACCGAGCCTAACACGCTGCTATCGCAAGAGCAGCACGAGCATATCTGCTGGTATCATCGGAGGTTCGGAAGTAGTGCGCGTAAATGTGTCCCACCGTGCGCGCACTCGGGAAACAGCTGCGGCAGGCACTGAGGGTGACCAGTGCTACTACGTTGCCCCCAAGTCGTCCCTCAGTATTTTTTATTACCGACCGCAACAACGGAGTACGTTTCTTAGTGGACACAGGCGCCGAGGTGAGCAATATACCGGCGTCACAAGCTGAAAGAAAGAAACCTAGTACATCGCCCTTGCAAGCTGTCAATAACACGGTAATAACAACATATGGCCATCGTTCACTGTCGCTGAACTTCGGTTTCGGCAGAACGTTTAGCTGGGTGTTCATAGCTGCTGATGTCAAATTCGCCATACTAGGCGCAGACTTTCTCCAGTTCTTTGGTCTGTTGGTCGACGTCCGCAACAAACGGCTTCAAGATCCCGTTTCTCGGGGAACGGTACAAGGCACGCCGTGTTGGCACCACCCTATCAGCCCGGCCTTGCTCAGTCCGGCTGGAGAAGCGTACTTCACCGCAGTACTACAAGAGTTCCCAAAGCTGACACGACAGCCACAGGCATTTCCAGAAGTAAAGCACGGCGTCCTGCATCACATCGAAACCACAGGCCCACCGGTCTATGCGTGACCACGGCGCCTGTCACCCGAGAAGCTGCGGTTGGCTCAACAGGCGTTTGCCTACATGATGGAACTCAGGATAGTACGTCCTTCATCCAGCCCATATGCCTCACCTCTTCACATGGTCCCAAAACCAACAGATGGTGATTGGTGCCCTTGCGGGGACTATCGAGCGCTGAACCGGGTAACCGTGCCAGACCGTTACCCAGTCCCGCACATTCATGACATGACCTCCTTCCTGCATGGTGCTACCATTTTCTCTAAAATAGATCTAGTGCGAGCATATCATCAGATACCCGTAGCACCGGAGGATATCCCCAAGACTGCAATAACAACGCCGTTCGGAATGTTCGAGTTCCTACGCATGCCTTTCGGCTTATGCAACGCCGGCCAAACTTTTCAACGGTTTATGGATGGCGTTGTCCGTGGCCTCGACTTTTGCAAGGTATACCTCGATCATCTTCTGATTGCTAGCAGCACTCTCGAAGAGCACGAGCGGCATCTGCGCTACGTACTTCAGCGACTGACAGAGAACGGCATCGTTATCAATACGGCAAAGTGCGTGTTTGGGGTACCGACACTATCATTTTTGTGCCACAGCATTTCAAGTGCTGGAGTACAGCCTCAGAAGGACAAGGTAGAAGCAGTACGGCAGTTTCCACAGCCGAAAAACCTCCGCCAGCTTCGAGAGTTCCTGGGACTCGTGAATTTCTACCGTAGGTTTATCCCGAAATGCGCCAACATCCTTCACCCTCTCCACAGCCTACTTGTGGCATCTGGATCTAAGGCAACTGCCATTCAGTGGAACGATCAATCCACACAAGCATTCCGGATGATAAAGGAAGCTCTCGCAAATGCTACCATGCTCACGTACCCGCAGCTGGGTGTTCCTCAGTGCGTCATGGTGGACGCCTCCGATGCAGCGATTGGAGCCGTGTTGCAGCAGAGGGTGAGCGGAGTGTGGCGACCAATTTCCTTCTCCAGAAAACTGAGCCCGTCGGAACGAAGGTACAGCACCTTCGGTAGGGAACTCCTGGCCATATACGCGGCTATCCGGCATTTCCGACATTATGTGGAAGGACAAGAATTTTTTGTGCTCACGGATCACAATCCACTCACCTACGCATTGCGCGCGAACTCCGATTCTGGTGCGCACGTGGCACGGGAGCTCCGCCAAATGCCGTACATCGCAGAATTCACGACAGATATACGCCATGTTAGTGGCACGGATAATGCTGCTGCTGACGCTCTTTCGCGCGGTCCAGTGAATGCCATCAGCCTGCCGAGCGGTGTGGACTTCAGCACACTTACGACGGCTCAACGCAGTGATGGAGAATCGAAGCGTCTACTGACGGCTTGAACCAGCGCCTTGAAGCTGCAATGGTTGGCAGAACCCACAGGATCCTTATGCTGCGACATGTCTACAGGCAAGGCCCGACCGTTCGTCCCCTCGAACCTCCGTCGCAGCATTTTTGACTTGCTGCACAGCCTGGCGCATCCCAGGATTCGAGCCACGCAATGGCTATGCACAGCGAGGTTCGTGTGGCCAGGAATAAACCGGGATGTCCGATACTGGACACGAGAGTGCATCGCATGCCAGCGCTCCAAAGTTCAGCGACATACTGTGACCCCCTTGGGATCGTTCCCTCTGCCGGACTGTCGATTTGCCCATGTGCATGTTGACATTGTGGGACCACTGCCGTTGTGCCAGGGGCAAAGCTACTTGCTAACCTGCATCGATCGCTTCACGCGATGGCCGGAGGCCGTGCCCATTCCAGACATGACTGCTGATACCGTCGCCCGCGCATTTATCTTCCACTGGGTGGCCCGCTTCGGAGTGCCGGCAACCGTGACTACGGATCGCGGAACACAGTTCGAGTCCGCCCTGTTCGCAAGCGGCACCCGGCTCTTGGGTACTCACCGCATCAGAACAACTGCCTACCATCCGATAAGCAACGGTATAGTGGAAAGGTTCCATCGCCATCTGAAGACGAGCCTGACGGCTACTGCGAGTCACAGTTGGGTAGAGGCACTGCCGTTTGTTCTGTTGGGCGTTAGAACGGCTCTGAAAGCAGATATTGGATGCTGCTCCGCTGAACTGGTGTACGGAACAACGCTTCGCCTCCCAGGGGGTTTTTCACTACCAGTAAGGACGAAAACGTGTACGCGAACGCGGACTACGCCGTGCGACTGCGAGACATCATGAGCAAGCTACGCGCTGTTCCTCCGCATCCGCCCGCAGCCCAGCCAGTCTACGTGGACCGGGAACTCTCCTCCTGCTCTCACGTGTTTGTGAGGCATGACGACGTACAGCCTCCACTCCGGCCCCCGTACGACGGGTCTTTCAAGGTGCTGCGACGGGCAGACAAGCACATTACAATCGACAGAGGTGGTTGTCACGACGTGGTTTCTCTAGACCGCGTAAAATCAACACACGTGGACTCCGACAGCGAAGCACCTGCACCACCTCGAGCTCCATCTTCGCAGGCACCCCCGGCAGACCACGTAGCGCAGCCCCAACAAGTCCTCAAACGGTTTACGTGGAGTGGACGGTGTACGAGACCCCCGGTGCGCATGAACTTATGAACCGCAGTGGGTCGTCCGATTGTGGCCGTTGTGCGCGCACTCACTAGGGAGGGAGTACTGTGGCGACGCAAAGCGGTGCTTCGGTGTGCGGTGCAGAGAGCGCATGCGCCCGCACGAGAAAGTTATCTTCGAGAGGAAGGGTGATAATAAAAGTCAGTTGTTGTTTGGGACGCGAGTTGTTCACTTGCGCAGCTCTGCCGAGCGACGCGTCACGACAACTTCAATCTCGTGGTTCGGCTTCGCTGTTAGTACCTGCCCTAAGTAGACATAGTCTTTTACAATTGAAGTGCAATATTACCTATCTCGAAGCGCTGCTCTCTTCCGAGGTTATTGTACATTACTTTCGTTTTCTGCATATTAATTTTGAGACCCATCTTTCTGCCCTCCTTGTCTAACTCCGTAATCATGAGTTGTAATTCGTTTCCTGAGTTACTCAGCAATGCAATGTCATCAGCGAAGCGCAGGTTACTGAGGTATTCTCTACTTACTCTTATCCCTAACTGTTCTCATTCTAGGCCTCTGAAAACCTCCTATAAGCACGCAATAAATAGCATTGGAAAGATTGTATCTCCCTGCCTTACACGCTTCTTGATTGGTATTCTGTTGCTTGCTTTATAAAGCACTATGGTAGCAGTTGATCCCCTGTAGATTTCTTCCAGGATGTTTATATTTTATTTATTTTTTATTTTTATTTGTACAATACTGCGAACCTTGAGAGGTCCAAGCAGGAGAGGGATGTACACATCCAGAAGACATGCGTACGGATGCAAGATCGACACATGAATGTGAGGGTACATAATCAACAGGTAAGTATACAATCATTATACATTGGATGACAGCAAGGGTGAACACTCTGGCAAAACATTCCAATCGGAAACAGTTCTGGGAAACAATGAATATTTGTATTGGTCTGTACGGCCAAAGAACGGTGTAATACTTCGGCTATGTTTGTGACGAGACGCTCGACTAGGGTTATTAGCTATGTAATCTTGTGACTGGATTCCCAATTTATTAAAATATAGCTGGTGTAGAAAATTTAGACGGGCACTTTTACGTCGGTTGGCCAATGGCTCTAGGTGTGCGAGCTCCAACATAGCTGAAGGGGAGTCGCGACGTCTAAAACGTTTATGAATAAAGCGAGCTGCCAATCTCCGAATTTTTTCAAGCTTTTCTTTATTAGTGATAGTATGGGGGTCCCATACAATGCTTCCGTATTCCAGGGTGGGTCTTACAATAGATTTGTATGCAATGAGTCTAAGCGACGAGGGAGCATCACCTAATTTATGCTTCAGAAATCCAAACCGGATGTGCGTCTGGTTAACCTCCCTGCCTTTCCTTGTATCTTTATCTCTCTCTCTCTCTCTCTCTAACTTCTTTCTCGCGGAGGAACATATGTTATTTATATGTGTTGACCAGTTAAGTCTGGACGTCAAGGTTAACCCCAGGTATTTATGTTCCTCCACTTGTTTAATCTGATAATTTCCAAGACTATACATGAAGGGAGATTTATTCTTATTGGAGATGCACATGTGAACTGTCTTGTCGAGATTTATAAGCATATCCCATTTATTGCACCATTCCGTTATTGCATGCAAAGCATGGTTAAGAACGTGCTGGTCAGCGGCAGACACTATGTGACTAAATATGATGCAATCGTCTGCAAACAGCTTAAGGCGTTGAGGGGGCTTTACAATTTGGCCAAGATCATTAATATAAATGTTAAATAGAACCGGTGCCAAGACCGAACCCTGTGGGACGCCAGAGAAAACATCAAGAAAACGAGAACAGGCACCGTCAATTTCAACATACTGTTTGCGGCCAGTTAGGTATGAAATGACCCAATTGACGACTTGTGATGGAATGCCTAAGTTTTTCATTTTTGTTATTAGTTTCGAGTGTGGAACTCTATCGAACGCTTTCGAGAAGTCTATTAGAACTGCGTCAATCTGTCCGCCCTCGTCAAGTACCTGTGTCATCTCATGGACGGTAACTACTAATTGAGTTGCAGTTGAAAAACCTCTTCGAAAACCGTGCTGTACGTTAGTAAGAAGATTATTGTTGTCAAGAAAATCATTTAGGTGTTTAGCAATTACGTGTTCAAGAACTTTACAAACTGTGCAAGTGAGAGATATGGGTCGGTAATTACAATAATCGGTGACAGAGCCTTTTTTAAAAATTGGTTTTACTCGGGCAACCAACCATTCAAGTGGGAGGCAAGAAGTTTCAAGAGACTTAGAATACAACTGTACCAAGAATCTAGCTAGGAGCTCTGCATATCTTTTGAGAAATGCGGTGGGAATGTTATCAGGTCCTGCGGATTTTTTAGGGTCCAATCGTAAGAGCAGCTCAGTAACACCATCGACAGTAATATGGATATATTGGTTGCTATCGTTGACGTAAGGTGTATTACCCAGCGTAGCTGTCCTTGAGAATATGCTCTGGAAATAGGAATTAAACGTTTCAGCAATTTCTTTTTTATCTGTAACAATGCGAGCACCAACAGCTATTTGATCTAGGCTTCTTGAGTCCTTGTTTGATAAAAATTGCCAGAATTTATGAGGGGATTCGGTAGCAAAGCGCCCAAGGGTGGTTGAATAGAAGCGCTCTTTAGCTTCTCGTAGTTTAGATTTCAACTTAGAACTTAGCTTAAAAAGGAGGGCGGCATCCCTGTTCTTCCTTTTTCGGTACCGTTTTAGTTTACGATTTAAATGTATAATTTCTCTGGTTATCCAAGGATTGGCTTTGTTGATTTTTTCATTTTATCTGGAATAAACTTATTGATGCAATAATTGCAGCGTGACTTAAACTTTGCCCATAAGACGTTAACATCGTCATCGTGAAATGTCAGTAATGCTTCTTCTAAATGGTGGGCAATGTTTGGGTTATCTGCTGCGTTGTAGTCTTTTACTTTTACAAATTTAGCGTTGTTTAACTTGATTCGGTTTGGAAGCTTGCAGGAAAAATATACGAGCTTGTGGTCCGAGACTTCTTCGTGAATTTCTGTGGTATGATCAGTAAAGCTGGCTGAACACAAAATTAAATCTAGAATGGAGGAAGCAGTGCTAGTCACCCGTGTTGGATATTGTACTGTCTGTGTAAGGTTGTAAGCTAATAAAGTATCTAGAAGGATTTCGGAGTTCTTTGTATCAGTGCCCCCTGATGACATCGAGCACCAATCTATGTGCGGTAAGTTGAAATCTCCCGCAGCAATAATGTTCTGATCCCTATACACTGCCAAATGATCATACAGTTCAAGTGAAAATTCACAGGGAGCTCCCGGCGGCCTATAAATTCCCGCAATGACAATATGGTTTCCTGAAATATTTATTTTACAAAAGACACTTTCGTGGTCAGGGTTAACAGCAGGCAGTGAAACAGATGAAAGGCCCGCCGTCACAAGAATTGCCACACCACCTCCTCGTGTAAGTCTATCTTTGCGATAGCGCGTATATGAAGACGGAATCACGTAATTATCAGGCAAATCTGGGCAAAGCCAGGTTTCGGAGATGACAGCTATGTGCGGGTCATATGTTAACAACACGTGTTCCAGTTCTCCTTGTTTGTTGCATAAGCTTCGCACATTAAGGGAAATGAGCCTCAGTGTTTTCGGTTGTTGCTTTGTAGAATCCGGAAGTCATTCGTTCGCCTTTTTCGTGTTTTTCGGTTTAGTGCTCAGTTCTCGTTTTTTACCTTTGCGCACGAGCACCCGGCAATCTTTTGCTTCGTCCCACGCATAAATGTCGTTGTTAATATGCAGTTTATCATGAACCAGTT